TGCAGACCGAGGTCCACAGAGATTAATTAAATTGTCCTTGTTGACTTAATAATGTACTTGTAAGTTGAAGGGCTGAGAGTAGAACCCAGCAATGTGGTGCCAAAATTATGCTCTTAATCCCTACACTTCCCCACAATGAGAAATGCAATGGCTATCGCTCATTCACAGACACTTAAAATATAAGGTGATGGAGAGTAACATGAAAAATTACTTTCTCAACTCAAAATCTACATACTGAAGGAGCATAAAAAAGAAATCTTACTCTTCTGACACTGAATAAATTTAATTAATTATTCAAATGTTTAATGGCTCTTTTTTGGTTCTGAAATCATTGCAATTGGTCATTTATCAAATATTCTGAAAAGGTAACACTTGGAGTGGGCTGTGAAAAACATGTATATAAAATGACTGATCAATCCAACTTTAGGGAGAAGAACTATGCCAATAAGCAAGTGCATTACAATTTTCTTGTTAATAACCTGAAAGAGCATGAGTAAGAGAAAGTAAAAACTTTACATTTGTTGTTTTCAACCTGACTCCAGAGATTAAGAAAAAAAAGAAAAAGCTGTTATTGAACCCAACCCTAACCTCCGTGACAGGGGAGAGGCTGAGAGAGCCCAGCGGTGCAGCCAGGCGGGGCGGGGCGGTTCTTGGCTGTGGGTCCTCACGGGCAGGAGGCAGCCTGCCTGGCTGGCATGGGCTGACCTGCAGGGCCTCATGCATGCCCCCACTGGGGTGTCCTGACAGGCAGCTCTGAGCAGCCCGGCAGGTAGAGAGCGACCCGCAGGAGCAGCGGAGGGCGGAGGACCACAGAGCCTCCTGGTCTCCTGGTCATGTCTCTGGCCTCTGACATTCTGAGGGCCCTGGGCTGCGGGTGAAGCGGGAGCCTGGCACAGCCGGAACCTTCATGCACCAGCCCTGCTGCCGGCCCCGGCCAGCAGACACGGTGGGTGCAGTGAGAGGCCCTGGCCAGCAGGCACGGTGGGTGCAGTGAGAGGCCCCGGCCAGCAGGCACGGTGGGTGCAGTGAGAGGCTGTCTCTGGCCTCTGACATTCTGAGGGCCCTGGGCTGCGGGTGAAGCGGGAGCCTGGCACAGCCGGAACCTTCATGCACCAGCCCTGCTGCCGGCCCCGGCCAGCAGACACGGTGGGTGCAGTGAGAGGCCCTGGCCAGCAGGCACGGTGGGTGCAGTGAGAGGCCCTGGCCAGCAGGCACGGTGGGTGCAGTGAGAGGCCCTGCTCCAGGAGGCCAGCCCGGCCGTGCGGACACCATCCTTCCGCGACCGAATAACGCTGCTCACTGACAGGAGGAGGAGACAGCGGATCTGAAACCAGTGGCCAACACAGGCCGTGTTAAATCCGCAGGACAGAGTCGCTCTCTATGCCTCACCACCCAGTTTCCAGCAGCGGAGCTCCTCCCGGCAAAGGCTGCTCGGCCGGGCCTAGACCCGACAGAAGTGAGTGAACCCTAACGCAGTTAAAGGAACACGTTGAGGAAAAGCAGAAGAAATAGTTGCACTCATGATTCATAGCATTTGTCATAAAATATCCTTTTGAAATCCAGAATCTCTCTTCTCTCTTTAATTAAAAACAACAAAATCATTTTTCCTTTATTAAGATTTTTGTCACAACAAAATACTCATCTTCCTATGCCTTGATAAGTGCACCAGACAATTACGTTTTGATTTTACATTAAATTGGCTTCAAATAATTTCCTCATTAGAAATGTGTGCTATTGTTTTAAAAATAATAAAAATATGTTGCTCAATTATTTAACATTTGATAAGCTGTCAAGTTGATGAAAGTTAGTAGCAGCACGAACTATTCAAATCTCACCACGAAAAGGTCTGCAGTGTAAAACCAAAACAAAACCACCCGGATCCGGAGTCCCGCGAAGACAAGGAAAGTTTTCTGGTGACAAAATGACCTTTCGGAGCTTACATCAGGGCTCTGCGCCCACAGGCTGTCATCCCCCAGTGACCGGCACCGCCTGCCCCGGTCATGCCAGCGACACTCCCTGTGCCCTGCAAAGTCCTCCATGGCGGCGGCCCCGAGGTGGACCCGACCCCAGGCCAACCTCTGAACATGCACACCGAGAAGATGGCCCAGGGCGGGCGCCGGCTCCCCTCGGAGAGAGGGCCCAACTGCGTGTCCCCCGCCCAACCCGCCTCAGCTGCACGCATCCCTGTTTGCTTCTTAAAAACAAAAACAACCAACCAGTGTGCACACTCTCTCCCCGGACCAGGCTTCCTCCCACCCATGACACACACCTCTGGTTCTGAGACTGACAATTTCCAGTGTCTGTGCTCTTAGAAATCAGACTGGAGTTAGCATGAATGCCACCACCCACCCTCCCACCTCCAGGAGAAAAAGAGAGACTTCAAACCTTAACTTGGGATGGGGTTCCCGCCTGGCGATGCTGCTGAGGAAGAGAGCACTGCAATCTCAGTGAGCAGGTGAGCAGGGAGGCTCTCCCAGAGCTCCCTCCACCTGCAGCCTGGGTGTGCCAGGACGGGGTGCTCCCAGGACGGGGTGCTCCCAGCTCCCGGTGCTCAGAACCACCTGTTCACTCAGGCCCCCCTTGACCGTCGCCCACAGGAAGCCTGGCCCACAGGAAGCCTGGCCCCGCTTCGCACTGGAGGGAGGCTCTCCCAGAGCTCCCTCCACCTGCAGCCTGGGTGTGCCAGGACGGGGTGCTCCCAGGACGCGGTGCTCAGAGCTCCACGCTGAGGACACCACCTGTTCACTCAGGCCCCCCTTGACCGTCGCCCACAGGAAGCCTGGCCCCGCTTCGCACTGGAGCAGGAGGAGCACCAGCTGTGCCCGCTCTGAAGAAGACACAAGGGCCTGTTTCCCATCAGGGTTTCCTGCCGCAAGAAGCAGCTAATAAAAGTGCCAGGCAGAGGGCAGACACTCCCTTTGGACCCTCTCCGCCTGCCAATCTCTCCAGGGGCTGACCCAACCAGCGGCCACACTCAGGACTGGAAAGGGAGCGGTTACCCTTCACTATCCTAACCCCAAGGAAGGCCATGCCCGAGTGCTGTGAAGAAAACTGCTTGGGGAAAACACAAGTCATGAGAGACAATCTCTAAATCATCACAAATCTCCATTAGAAAAGCTTTCTACATCTCAGACGACACTCACTTCTAATCTTTCAATAATTAAACCTTTGCATAGTATAGTAAATATGGATGGAATAACTTAAAAGCTCTAAAAATGGGAAAATGCCTATTTTTTCCATAAACCACTCCTCCATATATCTTGAAAAAAGAGAAGATATAATGGAAATTTAAAAATATTTTTTGTAAAAGCATAACTTTTTCTTGCATAATAATATCTGCACTGACTGAGGGATTCCAACTATGAAGAGATACAATCAAATGAATGTTTAGCCTCAAAAGGGAAATTATTCATCGTGAAAACACTGATGCTACCCCCAAGGATGTCTGCACATCAATCTCAGCCTTTTCCAAGCCAGCAGGCCTCCCTGGCCGCAGACCGCCCGCGCCCCACCCCGCCAGCACCAGCTGCTTATAAGACTGTACCTGACAGCCTGCCACCTTCTTCCTCCAGCCATGCACTCACTCCATCCTCCTCTCAACCACATGACCTCCTGATTTAAATTTGCCAGGAGCCTCCATCCGTGGCATGTAACTCCCTAAGTTCGCATTTCCCATCACGAACAGTCTGACACTCAGCACTTCCCATCTCTCTTCCAATCCAGAAAAACAAAGTGGTATTTTTCAAAGGGTTAACCCTCCTTGGTTTTCAAGTTGGGGTTTTTGCATAATATCATCATCCTTAACATCTGTAAACTTCTTTCACTCATTCAATAATAGTTGTTACTTTTTCAAATACTGTTTCTCTACCACCCACACTTACTGCACAGCCCTGAGCATGGTTTCCAGAAACCCAGAGGAAGTAACGGCAGCACGTGCCCTCGCACCTGGACTCGGGCACTTTGCACGTCAGTCTGTTCAGGGAAACTGTTCAAATGCTGTGCAACAGGTCCTGCTATTGTGCAAACACACGCCCAACAAAGTGGTCATGAGCTTGGAAGGGTCAGCAACATAAGAAAAAACATGCCAGGATCCTTCAGACTCATTCCTAATTCTCCTGAGATGTCAGGAGACAGACCCAGTGAACCGGAGCATTTTCTGTGAGACCCTCTGGCTGCTTCTCCATCCTGTGCACGGTGAGCCTATGGAGCCCAGGCGGACACCAGCTACCAGCGGCTTCGGTGCCAGTGGGGGCCAGCAGGCCACTTTGGCAGAGGTCTAAGTCCTTGCCCCTAAGTTCCCTCCGGCTTTGGGTCTGTCTGATTCCAGCGCTGTCCAGGCAAAGCCCAGGACGGTCCAAAACCTGGCTGTTTTGCCAGAGGAGTGTGAAATCAAATTAAAAACACACCTCACAACTATTCCATTGGGCCACGTTGATGTTCTAGGCGGGGGAGGGGAGGAGGACACACAAAAAGGGCCCATGCCACGTCCTCCGTGTCTCCAGCTCCAGGTCCCCGGCATTAACTTAGGTCTAAACAGAAAACGCCTCCGTCTGGTCAAGTGTTTTGTCACAAAGCAGCGCAATTACCCAGAGCAAGTGTCCCCCTGCCCTCGGATGTGATGCTAACCTCCTTTGTTAGACTCGGACGGGAAAGGTTCCCTTCCCGGAACAATGCCCAGGCGGCCGGCATGCCAGACGCCCGTCCTGGTCCTGGGTCCTGCGTCCTGAGCAGTTGGTTCACCCTGACCTGGAGCTGAGCTGCCTCCCTGAGCCCGCGACAGCCTCTCCCGGTGGCAGCGGGACGCACCGCTCAAAGCATCCTTTGTGCCGCGGGGATAACGGACTTGGTCTGCGCGAATCCATCACCGAGATGGAGAAGCGCAACTAGGTCTGTCTGGCTGGAGGGGACGCCGTGGACCCGGCGGCTCTGGGCAGCCAGCACCCGGGGACTCCAGCGTGTCAGGAGCGGCCCAGCCGGGAAGGCGGCCGCCTGGTCCTTACCTCCACATTGAAATACTGCTCCGCTCCGCAGACGGCAGCACATACAATCCACAGCAAGGTTTGCAAGAAAACCGCCCCCGAGGGATGCAGGACGTCCAGCCGCCTTCCAGCGCCCAGGGCGAGGAGGGTCATAGTGGACCGCGCTCCAGGGACGCGCGAGCTCCCGGCGCGGCCCCCTTTCCCTCCGTTTCCTTCCAAAGTCCCGGTGGGAAGAGCCCGCGGGTTCTCGGCCGC